ATTGCTCTTTGGTCGGGGGCCATCCCTCATAGGTTGGAGGCCATCGCTATTAGGTTGGAGGCCATTCCTATTGGGTTGGAGGCCATTCCTATTGGGTTGGAGGCCATTCCTATTAGGTTCGAGGCCATCGCTGTTGGATTTGAGGCCATCGCTACTGGGTTGGAGGCCATCGCTAGAAGGTTGGAGGCCATTCCTATTAGGTGAGGCCTTTCCTATTAGGTTGGAGGCCATGGCTATTAGGTTGGAGGCCATCGCTACTAGGTTGGAGGCCATCGGTAGTGGAGGTCATTCCTATTAGGTTTGAGGCCTTTTCTACTAGGTTGGAGGCCATTCCTGTTAGGTTGGAGGCAATTTCGATTAGGTTGGAGGCCATTCCTATAGGTAGGAGGCCATCGCTACTATGGGGAGGCCATCCCTATTGGTTGCTTGGTTGCTGTTTGACTTGCTCTTATTGTTACTAGTAGTAAGGCACTTGTTTCTAATAGCTTTTTGTTACTACTAGTAAGGCACCTGTTACTACTAGCGTGGCACCTGTTACTACTAGCGTGGCACTTGTTACTGTCGTTTCTTGAGGCCTTGGAGGAGGTGGCGGGCTGGACCGAAGCCATGTCACACAGGGTGTTACGACGGATTGGAAGAGACTTCTGTATAGGTCTCGAACATAGAGAAAGAGGTGTTTTCATTTTTTGGAGAGACTCCTTCAAAAAGGAGTCCTATTTATATATTTTTTAAGGGGCTCATTCTGCATTCTCTTTTTCTTTTCTTAAGACCACCAAAGACATCGCGTATGCAGGACAGCGGCAGAATGAAGTGACCTCCTTGGTGAAGCAACAGTGAAGTGAAGTGGTTAAGCTGTTTGCATTTGTGCAGTACGGTAGCCCTGAAGCAATGACGTATCCATTATTCAAATGTTTGAGCCTGCATCAGTGCTACTGCTTTGCCACTGTGTGGCGGACACGTGCCTCCTTATACTTTTTGCATTTTTTCGCCGCCCCAATGACTGCCTACAAATGTGCCACTGCTGAGCGCTACTACCCTTCCTAAGTGAGCGAATAAGATCAAACACTTACCACTGCAGTCAATGTCTGCTGCATCCCAAAGCAGCAACCTCCTCTCCGCCAATGTGCCTGGGTTGTGTTTATGACGCTGACTATTGCACTCTAGGCCATTGAAATTATTCTTATTATATAAAGAGGCCCTTACCTTCTTATTTTGAGTAGGTTGGAGGCCATCGCTATTAGGTTGGAGGCCATTGCTACTAGGTTGGAAGCCATTGCTATTAGGTTGGAGGCCATCGCTATTTGGTTGGAGGCCATTGCTATTCGGTTTGAGGCCATCGCTGTTAGGTTGGAGGCCATCCCTATAGCAGGTTGGAGGCCATTGCTATTAGGTTGGAGGCCATTGCCATTAGGTTGGAAGCCATTGCTATTAGGTTGGAGGCCATCCCAGCAGGTTGGAGGCCATCCCTATGGCAGGTTGGAGGCCATCCCTATAGCAGGTTGGAGGCCATCCCTATAGCAGGTTGGAGGCCATCCCTATAGCAGGTTGGAGGCCATCCCTGTAGCAGGTTGGAGGCCATCGCTATCAGGTCGGAGGCCGAGGCCATTGCTATTAGGTTGGAGGCCATTGCTATTGGGTTGGAGGCCATCCCTGTAGCAGGTTGGAGGCCATCGCTATTAGGTTGGAGGCCATCCCTATAGCAGGTTGGAGGCCATCGCTATTAGGTTGGAGGCCATCCTGTAGCAGGTTGGAGGCCATCGTTATGCCATTCCTATAGCAGGTTGGAGGCCATTGCTATTAGGTTGGAGGCCATTGCTATTAGGTTGGAGGTTATCGCTATTAGGTTGGAGGCCACGCCTATAGCAGGTTGGAGGCCATTGCTATTAGGTTGGAGGCCATTGCTATTAGGTTTGAGGCCATCGCTGTTAGGTTGGAGGCCATCCCTATAGAAGGTTGGAGGCCATTGCTATTAGGTTGGAGGCCATTGCCATTAGGTTGGAGGCCATTGCTATTAGGTTGGAGGCCATCACTATTAGGTTGGAGGCCATTGCTATTAGGTTGGAGGCCATGGCTATTAGGTTGGTTAGGTTGGAGGCCATTGCTATCAGGTTGGAGGCCATTGCTATTAGGTTGAAGGCCATCGCTATTAGGTTGGAGGCCATTGCTATTAGGTCGGAGGCCATCGCTATCAGGTTGGAGGCCATTGCTATTAGGTTGGAGGCCATTGCTATCAGGTTGGAGGCCATTGCTATTAGGTCGGAGGCCATCGCTATTAGGTTGGAGGCCATTGCTATTAGGTCGGAGGCCATCGCTATTAGGTCGGAGGCCATTGCTATAAGGTTGGAGGCCATTGCTATTAGGTAGAGGTCATCGCTATTAGGTTGGAGGCCATTGCTATTAGGTTGGAGGCCATGGCTATTAGGTTGGAGGCCATTGCTATTAGGTTGGAGGCCATGGCTATTAGGTTGGAGGCCATTGCCATTAGGTTGGAGGCCATTGCTATCAGGTTGGAGGCCATTGCTATTAGGTCGGAGGCCATCGCTATTAGGTTGGAGGCCATCGCTATAAGGTTGGAGGCCATTGCTATTAGGTCGGAGGCCATTGCCATTAGGTTGGAGGCCATCGCTATAAGGTTGGAGGCCATTGCTATTAGGTCGGAGGCCATTGCTATTAGGTCGGAGGCCATCGCTATTAGGTTGGAGGCCATTGCCATTAGGTTGGAGGCCATTGCTATTAGGTTGGAGGCCATTGCTATTAGGTTGGAAGCCATTGCTATTGGGATGTTGTAAGGTGTAAACATGTTTTCCTGAGAGAGCTTTCAAGCCTAAAGAGTTGAGCTGAGCGCTGTGTCCGCTAAGTGGGGCTGTCACGGAAGTGGAGCTCGAGGAGGCGACCTGCAACATTGTGCTTTGTCATTTTTGTGTTTTGCAACATGTGGTGTCTTGCGAGATGTGTGCCTTTTTCCAGGAAATCAGATCCTTTTCCACAGCTCTGGATGACAAGGTGTGACCACATCTGTTGGATGTATCTTCAATGCATTCACACACCTGCAGCGAAATTGCGCAATGCAATGGTTTTGGGGCTTGCAATCCGGTGCTTGTATTTCAGGCCAGGACTGCTTTGAAAGAGCTCCCCGCCTCTTCTGCAGTTCATATTCTTCGTTTGCATACTCAGCTGAGAGCAATGATACCTCTTCTTGTTTCTTCAGCACTGTTGTGCCCTTACATTTGTATTTCACGCTTGTTTCTTCATGCTCAAGAGCACAAGAGATTTCCCTTTTTCGATTGCCCCTTCGGCCGTTTCTGAGGCAACTTGAGGAGGCAAGCTGGCCAGGCGGCTCATGAAAAAAATGACGGCAGACATGAAGAAGCAGTAAGCAATTTGCGCAATACAAGCAATGTAAGTTATTTCGCTGTTGCCGTGTCACGTACAACCCTGGTTCATTGACCAAGCCAATGCAAGTAAAAAGCCAAGACTCAGCCAGCAGCAAATTTGCTGAGTCAGAACCACTGCATCAAGATGATGTGCTTTGCATAGGCTTAACGCTATCCGAGTTCAATTCATGCTGACACTGGTATGATATGCTTGGTTTCCTACTGCTTACCGACCCAGATTACTTTACTTCGACTGTTTGGGTTTCCTACTTGATTTCTGACAACGACAAGACCTAGGATGCTGTATGTTGCTGTAGCATGATATGTTTGAATCCAGCTGAATCAAATATTTTGAGCCTCACTGCTCGGAGGTGACGAATGCAAGTGCTTGGGTGTGCAAGGCTGGGAGACAAAAGACACATAGCTATGTTCCTTTCCTTTCTTTCTTCCTTTCCTTCTTCCTTTCTACTAGAGGCAAGAAAACATTTTCTTTTTTAATGCTTAGATGATCTTGGATTGGATTGCTTTTTCAAAGCTTTGTACCTTAATTCTTTTCATCTCTTTATAATGCTGAGAGTGCTGGCGAGCCCGTTTCAGGCCGTGGGAAATATGAAGCGGGGTCCACCAACGACATCAGCATCCGCACTAGCATTGGAGCCTGCCACTCAGAGGATCCGACGGGTCCGAAGCAATTGTTTTGTAAAAGAATGCTTCTAAAAGCGATGGCCTCCAACCTGCTATAGGGATGGCCTCCAACCTAGTAGCGATGGCCTCCAACCTAGAAGCGATGGCCTTTAACCTAGTAGCGATGGCCTGCAATGGCCTCCAACCTACTAGCAATGGCCTGCAATCTAGTAGCGATGGCCTCCAACCTAATAGCGATGGCCTCCAACCTGCTATAGGGATGGCCTCCAACCTAGTAGCCTAGCAGCGATGGCCTCCAACCTAATTGTGATGTGCTCCAACCTGCTATAGGGATGGCCTCCAACCTAGTAGCGATAACCGAATATCGATGGCGTCTATCCCAGTAGCCTAATAGCGATGGCCTCCAACCTAATTAATTAGAAGCGAAGGCCTCCAACCTAGCTCCAATAAAAGTTTCCTGGCAATTCATTCAGGGGCTTTGCCCAATCTAAGGTCAGCGAAGCGTATGCGGCTTTGAGGTTAGCAAGCTACTCTTTAGCGATGTAGCGCTTTGGCAACCGTTGCCTCAGATGGCCAGGAGGTACGTACTCTTTGATTCTACAAAAAAAACAAAGCCAGAAGGAAAGCGATTGAACATCACCAGGATTCAATGAGTTTGCTTGGAAAGGGTTTCGAGTGATTCGGGTCGTTTCTCGTTTCACTGTATGTTTGAGAGGGTTCTTATGAGCAAGAAAGCAAAAGAAGCGATGCGACGATGGAGTCTTTGCAACAGTTGAGGACTCATTCATAGCTTTCCACTAGGCACTTGTGCGAATTGTCCTTGGCTTCAAAGGTGGCTTAGACCATTCTTTTGAATGGTGGCGAGTGCCTTGGATCAGTATGAATACAATTGTTAGCATGCTGCCTGCACCCCCCAAAAAATCCATTTATGCATGAGTTGTAAGTTCTGCTACGCACTACGCACTTCATCCATTTTCTGCCATGCCTCCTTTTCGCCTTGGCCTCATTGCAGACATTCAGTGCCCCTCACAGTTGGCTATGTGGATAATTCACAGATCTTGCCCTTCCAACGCACATGGAAAAGGGAGCTTTTTCAAGCACTTGTTCGACTGCCTTTCTGGTATCTATTCAACAGCCTTTCAAGGCTTGTTTCCGTTGCTCAGTTAAATGCTTGTGTTCTGAAGCGCTTTCGATGCAAGCGTGTGTTCGAGTTGGGAGGTACGCCGATTGTGAGGATGGCACGGACTTTTCCGGCTCTGAGCGGCGTTACTTTCGGAATTCCTTGAAGATCACTGAGCGGGCTGTGGACTGCTGGAATGCTAACGCCTTAGTCAAGACCGCCCAGCACATATGTGCAAAGATAGACGGAAGATAAAGCAGCAATTAGCTGGAAACAACCTTCGCCTCTTAAAGCTGGAGACCAACAGCGAAATTCAGCAAGACTGAAAGCCGTCAAAGATTGTGCATACTGGCTCCTTGCTCGAGGCGGTTGGCGTCGATGCAGTAAGCTTCCCAGTGTGCTTGCCGTTGATTCAGATTGCCATTTTGACAGATTTGCAGGTTGTTCAGCTGGGTGACATCATTGATGGGTGCAACTCAAAACTGCAAGCAAGCGAGACGGCCCTAAAGAGGGTTCTGGAAGTGCTTTCAAGGAGCTGAAAGTCTCCAGGTTTCGTTGGTGTGCAGAGTACACTTGTTGCCGTGGTTTGACACACGCACAGAAAAGTATCTAAATATCTATATAAATAAAGATAATATAACACACCCTGTCAGTGTGCCACCGTGGCAACACATGTAGTTCAGCGAGCGAGTGGTGTGACGACCCTAGCGTCAGCCTAGCGTCAGCCTAGCATCAGGAGTCCTGCACCCCGCTTCGACTTGGTGGGAAACCACGAACTTTACAATTTGCCTCGAGACGCACTCGAACGTTGTGGCCTCCGCTGCGGTGAAGGACGTGCGAAGCTATGTCTTTGTGGGCAAATCAGCTTGCCGTGATTCAGAGTATTCATTGTGTTTCCGGAGCTCTTGCTGCCACTAGAGTTAGTAGTTGTTCATTTTTGTCTATCAATATCTCTCAATGGGATCAGTACCTTTTATGTACCGCAGTTTTCTTAAATCTCAAACAACTATCACACACATCTCCATTTCATCAACCACACAATTGACCATTCTGCTAGTGATAGCAATGGCAGCGTCAGGACGGAGCTACTATGCTGCAACTTGGACGGGTGGAACTCTGTGGCGTGCTAGTGATTATGGGATGTCCACTTCGCAAGCTACCAGTTTCAATCGGGTACCTGATATTTGAGAGAGAGAGAGAGAGCACACATCATACATATCAAAGACACGTGTTGAAGAGGCGTGAGCCCTACCAAACGAATTGGATCGCTGAAGTGAGGCTCACTTGGGTGACTTCTGGGAGGGAATCTTCTTGGACCCCTTCGAAGTGGCGTTTCTTGGCCTCCCTCAGATTTGCCAGTTTCATTGAGAAGCCCGGAGCAACATGCAACATGTAGCAACAACAGCCAAAGACACGCAGATTGGACTATAAGGCTGATCGGAGTGCCACAAGATTCTCCTCAGTTTGTGGAAGCAACAGAGACGATCAGAACTCACAATCCGTGTGGATCTTGGGAAGACACTGATCATGTGGATATAAAGGCGTAGCTTAGATAGACATGTTTGAGAAAAGAATGTTGAAGACTGAATTCCTTTGAGGCAGGTGCTAACAGGGGCAAGAGATTGGTTTACTGGCCTCCCAACGGAGAAGCACCGATTTGTGCCTTATAATGGCTTCCTGGCTGCGAAGTAGACGCGCGTGGTTTCCAAGTTCCGCAGTAGCTAAAGGAAACAAAACTGGATTCGAATGCAACGCTGAAACCTTCTCCAGGTCGTCGAGGTCTTTCAAATCTCATGGATTGGATATTGTGACATATTGTGACCCTTAGGAAGTGGGGTAGGAGGATTTGCTTTTAGAGAGTATTTTCACGCGTCCAATTTTTCCTTGCTTCTTTAAAATCCCGGCCTCAGGTGGAATTTCTCAAACCCAGCTGAAGTGGTTGGAATCCGCCGGAACCTCGGGCGCAACGAGACTTGCTGTGCTGAACTCTTTCTGTAACAGGCCGTACAAGCAGCAGAGGCCTGATCGATCGTACCGGCAGTCTGACTATTTGTGATAGAGTTTTGCTTAAAACAAAAAGGATAATCATGACAATTTTGTTAAAGGTGATTGCATATGGGGAAGGATACCTTAAAGCAGAAAGGAGAACTCGGGAAAAGAAGCCAAACAAATTTGTGGCTTGAACTGGTTAAAACAAAAGTAGCTGAAACAGAAAGCTGAAGACTATTAAGAAGACCTCACTGTTCGAGGCTGACTCGCGGAAGGTGCTGATTTTCCTTCACGTGCCGCTTTACGAGCCGGCCACCAAAGCCAAGACAGTGGTGTGGAACGCTGAGGTCAGTGGCTGAAAAAGACATTTCTGGTGAGTAAGTCGAGAATGTTTGTTGTATAATAGGTTCTTTCCAGTGTGTTAGCCTGTGAGGGTTGGAGGCTAACTGTGAAGAAATGCTACTACATACAAGGACGAAGAAGTTGAAGAGAGTTGATAGTCCTTTTGATTGCTTTGCTTGTCCGTCTACCGTCCTTTCAAAGAAATAGCCTGCAGTGGATGTGAAAGCTTTTCCTGTGCTCTTCATTTCAATCTGTGTGCATCAGCTCTAGCTGTCTTGGTCAGTAGCAGCTGAGACGTGAATCCTTCTTCTAGCTCCTCTTTATGAAAAGCTCAATCAGACGACCCACATAGCTGGCTTAGGGGACTTTCAACGATTCCTCAGCCCCTTCAGCTTGGATTCAGCCCTGACACAGGAGATTCTGCACATTCTTCATACCCATCGTGACACCGTTGTCGCCGTCTTCGCTGGCCATGACCATGATGGAGGAGTCGCTGACAATATAATCGATTTGACACTTCTGAATCTTTCAGTCTCGTTTGTTCTGAACCTGGCTTCACATTCCTTTTGGACTGCTGGTGCTATATAGAGACTTCTTTCTCCTACCCCTTCTCCGGAGAAAGGGCTTGCTCAAAAATCAGCCCATTTGCAGGCTATGCAGTGGACGAAGCAGGATGGGATTACATTGTATTCAGAATTGGTGACTGACCTTTCTGGAAGATTGTGACAGAATGGATGTAATTCACAGAGAGGATTCTGAAGACATCCTTGTTTTGAATGTATATTTTGTTTGTTGTATTTTTAATATTTTTGTTGCAGTTCTTTTCAACCGGCAATATTGACGCGTGATTTCGTCGCAGCTCTGCCCACAAACTCCAGGACTTCATCACATCACCATGAACTCTCCCTTGACCGCTGAGGGTGATTGCTTTGCGGTCTTGGAGTGCTACGAGGGCTGGGCCCACTTCAAAGCTCATGGACGCGCCTGTGTGTGGACCTCGGTTCAGAACCGTTGAACAGACAAAAGATTGAACAGTGAAGAGGCTGAACAATGACTTTCGATAGAAGCAAAAGGAATATATAAGAACAATGACAATGGGAAGACAAAAAAAAATGAAGGGATAAAGTGAAGCTACGTCTAAGGTGTGGGGCTTACTTGCTTCTGACCACTGAACCGTCAGGTTGAAAGCAACACACTGGGCAGCGGACGAGCATACCCTGAACTTATCTTGGCAAAAGGCTGGATTTGCCTCTTAGTTTGAGCAGCTCTATGCCACGCTTGCTCTCTCCAACTTGGCCTTGCGACTTTGTTGGCCTTTTTCATTACGCGTTGCAAGGGAAAGGAAAATGGCATCGCTATCAGTAGCAAGGACGCTATCAGGAGCTCCTGGCCTTACTACTAGGAGCAACAAGCTACTGGGAACAAAGCTATAAAGCTTGCTTTCCGGTTCCAAGTTTGGTCGTCACCAACGCGGGGTTCCCCGTGCGTTCCCCGTGGGTTCCCCGTGGGTTCCTTGGCAGATGCTGTGAACTCCACCAGCCCTTTGAGTGCCTCCAGCGAGGCACACAAGTTGAATTGTTGCAAATGCATGCGGAGAGGTTTGATGAAGTTGATGTTCAAAGAGACATAGTTCCAGTGACAAAATGTTTTCTTGCCTTTAGAAGACAGACAGGTTTGCAGACGTGTTGCATTCTGTTGGTGATCCGCGCCTGATGAAGTGACATCCAAGACCGTTGCACAGGATTCCTCCGTGTTGCAAGCGATGGGCTTTGATTCTGTGAAAGCTCAGGAGGCCTTGCAGGCGCTGCGTGACTTCGTGACTGCGTGAGCTGTGCAAGTCACCCAATCCGTGGAATCGTGAGCAAAAAAAAGATACTAGTAGCTTCTTGTTACTAGTAATATGGCCAAGAGCCCCTAGTAGCTTCTTGTTACTAGTAGTATGGCCAGGAGCCCCTAGTAGCTTCTTGTTACTAGTAGTATGGCCAAGAGCCCCTAGTAGCTTCTTGTTACTAGTAATATGGCCAAGAGCCCCTAGTAGCTTCTTGTTACTAGTA